CAATCCTTGTGTACACGCCATGGGGGGTTACTTTGGTTTAAATTGAAGCAGGTTTTTTTAAAATCCACTGCTTCCATTTAGTGAGAATTAAACCGAAGTAAAACCCCATGGCGTGTACAAGCAACTAAGAAGGACTGCCTGGCTTACAGTCCATATCAGACATGGGCTGAACTCTTTGTCCCTTGGGAGGATCTAAACTGCACTTGGGACAGTACCTGCCTGGAGCAGCAGTCTTGGGAGAGGCTTGGCCAGGAAAGTGTTTCAAGGAAGTCATTTCACCCACCTGGGTATTATTAGCTAAAGGAGAAGCTTGCAGGAAGCAAAACAAAGCCCCATGGTTTTGTAAGTTTTTCAGTCAGGACATCAAGGTACATCTCAGTCAGGACATCAAGGTACATCCCCACTGCAGAAGCCAGCACAGTGCAGACATTCATGCTAGCATGGGTGCGAGTAGCAGTCCAGCCAGGAACTCCCAAGTTCTAATCCTGGCTCCAGCACCAACTAGCTGTGCAGCCCTGGGCAAATTACTTCCCTTCTGTACCTCAGTTTCCCCATCTGTCAATGGGGATCACTCTCCACTACCTCCAAACACACAGATGTTGCAAGATGGTGAAGGGATCTGTTTGTTCATGTATTATACTCCAAGTATCACAACTGTTACAGTTAAAGAGAGATATCCAAGTTTGCTCCATTACTATCTGAAAGAGAAAGTTGTTTTCTCCCAGTTGAAATCCCACTCTAATTGGACATCTAAATAGCAGCCTCTCTGTATGCTGGAAACATAAACCCATTACAAGGTGCCTCATGCTCTCTAGTCATAAGGAAGCTCCAGATGAGAGGTAACAAGGCTCAGGCAGGGCAGCCTAGTTCACCTGGCATCCTCCAGGAACCCAGACTGCATCATTCATATGCGAATTATAGCACTTGTCACCCTTCATTCTGCCTCAGCTGCTGCAAAAGCAGATAAATTGGCAAAACTGTTGCCAGCAAAGGCAGAGGAGCTTGTGTCGCAGCCCCAAGAAGAAGGCTGTCTACTTCCCTCCCCAGAACAGCAGCTTGAGGAGTGTTTCCACCTTGGCACAGCCTGGAGGAATGAGGACTCCTTCCTGCAGCTTGTTCCAACATCACAGCCCACCTGGCCAGGTAAGAGATTGTGCTGTTATCTGCATGCTACCCATCCTGTGAGGCTCCTGGGTTTTTGAAGCAGTATGTGGAACTGTGCGAGTGCTGTTCTCCCTTGGGTGTTATTTGGCCCTCATTTGCACACTGTCTGAATGACTCGCACTCCTTCATGGATTTCCCCTCATATCCCCTGGGAGACAGGGCAGTGTCACACTCCTGCTAGTCAGTCAGAAGAGAGGCAGAAAGGGCCTGTCCACATGGTGGTGAATCCCAGCACCGAGGTGCTCACAATCCACCCATGCCTGTGAGCACACCCCAAACTTGGGACAGTTAGAGGTCAGGTTGTTCCAGGCCCTCCTCACCAACCAGTCAAAAGCCTGCTGGAAACTAAGGGGGTTTAGTGTGGATCTGGAGGGATGAGCCCATAGCAGTTTCTGTGGTGAAGCTTTGGATTTAGAGCAGGGTTGGGCAATTACTTTGGGCGGAGGGCCGCTTACTGAGTTTTGGCAAGCCATCGAGGGCTGCATGACAGGCAGCCATGGGCAGATAAATATTCATTTTCTAGATGTTTTAGGGGCCCCATGGGCTGGATAGAATGGCTTGGTGGGCCGTTCCTGGCCCATGGGCAGCATTTTGCCCACCCCTGGTTTAGAGCGTGCCTACGGGCAGTGAGGTGGGGTGTTCTGCTGTCTCTCAGTGCTAGAACTTGCTACCAACACAGTGCAAGTGACCCCAGAGAAGCTATGTGAGTTGGGATGCAATTGTGCAGAATCCCCCCCCCCAAACTACAGCACAGCAGGGAACTGAACTTAGGTCCCTGTTGAGTCCCTAGCCACCGCTGTGTTATCTCATGGATTCCAAATGGTAACAAATCCCTTTCCCCCTCAGAAAGGGCTCAAGGTAGAAAATTTGCTCCAAAAGATGATGGGGTGGGGGAATCTATGGATAGAAGAGGTCTCAGAGACAGGAACTGTGGTTTCCATCTAGTTAGCACAGAACAAGCACACTCTCTCAAGTGCCACCATTGGCTGCATGGAATTTCAGTGGTCTAAAAGGCAAAGGGACTGGACCAGAGACAATGCTTTCCTTTCCTCCTCAGATGACTGATTCTGTCCAGGGTCAGTGAAGCAAACTGGGGATGAGAGAAGAGTTTGGACTTCCACTGGCCTCCCCTTGGGAAGAGTCATGCCAAGAAGAGTGCTGTCAGTCCAAGCTCAGAACCAAGTATCTCCAAGTCCTTAGATTCAGAAATCACCATCTCTTCCCCTCATCCCAAGAGGCTCTGGGGCATTGTTAAGCATCTGCCATCTCCTCCCTATTTTAGAGGTGGGCTAAGTCATTCCTGTATATTCTCTGTAGAGACTTAAAAGGAGAGGAAGGTATAAGATGTGCATAGTCCTTTGAGATCCCCAGATTAGAATAAACTACTACAGAGACCACCTTAGGGCCAGCAATACTGTTATAACTAGGCAAGGAAGGGGCATATGCCTGCCCTGCTTAGACTGTATGGTGTTTCAGTCCAATTGCCTCTGGTTTCTTTTCTTTGCTGACCAGGGCTATTCAAAGAAGCCAGACACCTGCCATTCTATCCAGCTCAGATCCACTCCAATTACCCTCCTAAACATAAGGCCCATCCCTCCTCCAACAGATGATGGTCAGATTGATTCTCTAGCTATTGACTTTCCTCCTGGCATAAACACAAAAAGCTGCAACAAGAAATCAACTCTGATGACACACAATGCCTTTGTACATGCCCAACCAAGAGAATACAGAGCTATTCAGGAACAGGTACACAATCTCCATTTATGCAATCCAAGGAAGGATGCAGTGTGTTTTAGGAGGATGGGCATCCGAACACCTGGGTTCTTTTCCTGGGCCCTATCCACTGTGTCGCTAACGTTTTGGTGTCTTAGTAACTTCTCTGCAGTTGGGGGGAATAAGGTATGAGACTATTATACATTTGCAAATGTGCTTGGAGACCCTTGAACAGAAGATGCCTTTTAAACTGTCCTGTCTCTACAGCAGAAGGTATATAAGGGGCACATCCACACATTCAGGCACGTGTGCTTCCAACAGGTCAAATAGCAGTGGCACAATTTTTTTCCGGAGATTTCTGCCTCAGCACAAATGCCTGAACATGCATTTTGGCATGGGTCAAGTTGTGCCACTTGGGCCAAACTGACACTGCCCAGATCCTCAGCCAAGGGGAGCTAGGGGCTGGGGACAGCACCTGTGTTAGCCCCAGCAGTATTAAAACCTGCCCTGGCGAGCAGCTCAAGGCTATTTGCCCTCAGGAGCTTCTGAGGCCCAGCCAATTGGTATCTGAGGACATGACCCCTTGTGCCAGCTAGACTGCTGAAGCAGCCCTAACCTGGAGTGGTCCCTGCACCCTCTATCCCAGGTGTGGGCAAAATGCAGCCTGGGGGTTGGATGTGGCCCGCCAGGCCATTTTATCCAGCTCGCGAGGCCCCTTAAATATTTAGAAAATTTAAATATTTATCTGCCCCGGCTACCTATCATGCAGCCCTCAGTGGCTTGCCAAAAATCATTAAGTGGTCCTCTGCCCAAAATAATTGCCTGCCCCTGCTCTACCCACTGCAGCAGGCTGGCTGTGACTTGCTGCCACCTGTGACAGCATCCACCCTCTTGGATCTGTGGCCCTATGGCTGCATGCCTGCCAGACCTGGACAGGGACTGCACAGCTGCCTGGGCTGTGGCATGTGCCACTGCAGCAGAGCCTCCTGTACCTCTGGGCCAGCTGCCAGTGGGCTGTGGCTGCACAGTTGGCCTTTGGACAGCA